CCCCAAAACCCCAAAACCCCATCAGTATTATATCTTAGAATCAAGGAGTTTATTGCAATTATTTTAATAATAAATACCAATGAAATAATTGAAGAATACTTAATTGAATCATACTAAATCTTTATGGTAATAATAAATTGGAATTTAATGAACGTATACATTTGCCAAGGATGCAATCTTTTTTATAACCAAACAGTTAGGATACCGATGGTATTATCATGTGGACATACTATCTGTAACTAATGTAAAGAGTTTCAATTTTAAAATGGAGGATCTTATAAAAATTGCCCTATTGATGATTCGTGCTAGCTATAAGCGAACTTCAAAATGTTACCCAACAAAGTATTGATAAATAATCTTGACAAAGTGAACTTTGTGAACATAACTTGTGATACTCACCCTGATAAAATGGTTAAAAAGTACTGCAAAACATCTAAGTAGCTTCTCTGTAACATATGTGCTACTACTTCCTAGTGTACCAATCATTAAAATGCAGATCATTTGAATGTTTTGAGAAAAGAGTTGGAAGATCACATCCATCTTAAAATTCCGTTGCTCAAAAATCTGATTGAAAGAATCTAATTGCTAATTCGTAGTCTCCAATAGTATCAGAGTAAGGATAAGATGTTTAAGGCTGGTGAGTTCTTCGATCTAATGAACAAGATTAATGAATATTTGGGGTCTAATTAAAGGAAGTAAGGCAAAAGCTTATTCAATATAGGAGAGTGGTAGCTTAATGATTTAAGAACTGAAAATCTTGAAAATCTTCAAATTCTCATTTAGAAATAGAAACTAGAGGAACAAAAGAATAAGTAAGAGGTAGAGATATAAAAATAAGAAGTTGTGCAAGACAATCCAAATAACTTAATATTCAGAAGAATGGTTGACTATCATTTAGAATCTTTGAAATATCCAGAGTTGAAAGGCTTTTATAAACTTTTACCTCTAATTGGTCAAAGCAAACTTATATTTAAGGCTTCTATTGATGGATTCTTGGCATCTAGCTTTCATTCAAAATGCGATAATCAAGGTCCTATTATTTCATTCATATAAAGTGAGCATGGATAAATCTTTGGAGCTTATACATCTGTTCCTTGGACTTCAAATAGAGACAAATGGATTAGTGATAATGAAGCTTTTGTTTTCAGTTTGAGCAAAAATACTCTGCATAAATAGCATGATAACTATGATTTTGCAGTTAATCATCACGATAACAATATCATCACATTAGGAGGAGGCCATGATATTTTCATTTCAAATAAGTGCAATGATAATAGTGATAGTTACTGCAATTTAGGGCATGTATTTATGGCTCCATAAGGATTTGAATATGGAGATGAAGAAGCCTCTAATTATTTAGCTGGAAGTGAAAAATTCATTGTAATTGAAATGGAAATGTATCAAGTTTTGACTTGATTTATGATTAAATCTTTGATCTTAGATAAACAAAAAAATACTAATTTATAAATTTAAAATAATTTTTTTTCTCTCTATAATGTTATATTTTTACTTAAGGGGTTTTGGGGTTTTGGGG